GTGATGTGGATGTGGGGGAAGGTATTACCACCAAGCCTTTAGCATGGTCAGATCATTTCTTGGGGCAGATGCAGTGGATTGCCACCCAAGAGTTCTGTGGAACTGGACCGATTTAAATAATTGTCCTAGTGGCTATTTGTGGACACTTAGGAAATTTGCTGAACAGATAAATTCTTTGAAGGTCTGGTTTGCTGTTGGCATTAGGTCTTGATCAAATGTAATTTGGGTGATCATTTCCTTGTTGGGAAGAACCAACATTGCATATACTGGGTTGCTGTGATCAGTTAGCACAATATTTTACTGATGAAGTCATCAGATTTAATTAAGTCCTGACTTGCTGTAGGCGGAGGAGAGTTATTGGGTAAACATTGTCCAGGAGAGTTATTGGGTAAACATCTTGCTTACTTACCTGGAATTCCTTACAATCTGGTTTAGCAAATAGCAAACTTTCTAAAGGGTCATGTGCCACCTATGGGCTTGAACTCTATTCTTTCAGGCAGCTAAGAGCAGTAATTTCCTGCATCACAGATTGTTAATGTCTTGTTGCAACAGAGGATGCCATCAGTGATCTTGAAGGAAACTGGGGTCCATTGCCTGGCTCTAACCTTCCCTTTTGAGGGAAATTTTATTAAGTCATAGATGGACAGTCATCTATAGATCACACAAAGAAATTGATAATCTGGATTCTCTGTAGTTATGATTCAGGCTTGGATATGGAATGCCAATGGCATTGCTTGTACAAATGGACATGGAATGCCAATGGCATTACTTGTACAAATGGATGACTTTTGTTGGGATTTGGATGGAGTAATTGTGTCTTTTGAATCTCGCAACAATCCTCAATACCATCAACAATGATATCCTGGACTGTTTTCAGAGGTTGAGAATTAGCAACACTGTATCGTAATGGTTCTACTCATTCTTTGATAGTTGGTTCCAATCAGCAGAGGTGGAGCAGCAGAGATTGCCTTGATGGTTATTTTCTTGTGGGAGACTGCAAAAGTTGATTCTCTCCCACTTCTATTTAACATTTATATGAAGCTGCTGAAAGAGATTATCCAAAGATTTAGAGTTGGTATTATAAACATGTTGATGATAACCAACTGTACTCATTATCACCATTAGATTGGTGATATCATTTAAGTCCTGTTTAAGCACATGGAGGCCTGAGGGTCTAAATGGGTGAGAACAAGCTTAAATTAAACCTTTAATAAAATAGAATTATTGTTGTCTAGTGGAATTATATATCTGCTTCAGATGTGTTCCCCTGAAGGCGTAGGTTTGTGATGGGGGCGATTTCTTCTGGAATCATGGCTTCTGGTAGATCAGTAGGTCAGGCATAAGGTTACCAGAGTTTCAACCATTCTGGACAGGTCTCATCAGAGGAGCCAGACAAAGAATGCCTCTCTCATAAACAATATGGTGAAATGTAATTTACAGAAACCATACCAGATTGGTCAATACCTAGGTTAACAAGGATAGTGCTAGATGTTGAAGTTCCTGGACTCAGTGATTGTTGAATGAACAATCAAGGCCAGCAGTTTCAGGATTATTGAAATAAATATGGAATAAAATGTTCACAAAAGTGGAATTGGAAGAACTGCAATGATCTATCCAGGGCAAAGAGATTGAAGCCCTGCAGAAATAGCTCAGATAGTAAAGGCAAACCAGGGGAAGTGAGCAGTAGAGGAAGCCAACTTAATTACTGAATAGTTTTAATTCCCAAACTAGGTTCGCTCTCCTCTGCCTTATCCTCAGAACAAAGTTCTACTAGAGAAGAACTGAAGTAAAGAATAACTGATCATCTAGAACAGCAAAGGGATAACAGAATAATGTTGCCTGAATTGAATCTTGTTCCAAAGAAACAGCTAGTACAAGTATTACAAGATGCCAAAACTGTAATATCAAACATAAGCACTGGCTCACTACAAGAAACAAGCTAACTAATGTACAGCATGGCTACATTATAACCAAATACCTGGGTGCAAAATCAGCAAAAAAAAAAAAAAAGGTGCATCACCAAAATAGAAGATCAGGCTGGAAAACAAGATCAGCAAACTAAAATGCAAGCAAGCTAGATTAGACGAAAGAAAAAAAAATAGTTGAAGGAGAAGAAGACCAAAGAATACCTGTTCAAGAAATATCAACTAGAAACAAGAAAGACTAAGGAAGCATTATAATAAAGCAGCATATAATAGCTATAGCCAAGACGATCAACAAATACAAAGCTTGCACACTATAGATAGAATCTCAAATTTCAGTCAGATCAAAAATATTACCACCAATCCATCCATGAAGAGGCTGCAGTGTATCAGTCAACACCTGACATAGAAACAGTGCCGTTTTGGGTATAGCTAGGGATAACCCAAAGATATACAACAAGAAAGCAACAAGAAGAGGTGAATAAGGATAAAAAAATAAATAATGGAGAAAAGGGCAGGTTTGAGCAACTATAAGCCTATTTCCTGCTTACCAACAACTTTTAAATTGCTAATTGCTGATGTAGTTGATGTAGTCTAACAGCATCTATTTGAAAACAAGCTCTTTCCACCTGAGCAGGAAAGAAACTGCTTTAACAACAAGGAATTGATTCCAAATTGACAAGATTATTCTGAAGAACTGCAAGAGAAGGAAGAACAACTTGAATGTAACATGTAGCATGGATTGATCACAAGAAGGCAATTGGCACCATGCCACATGAATAATCAAATGCTTAGAAATAATAGGAGTCAATAAAAACACGCGGTCATATGCAAAGATTAATGGCACAATGGAAGACATAGTTGCTGGTCAACGGTGATAGATCATAGAGAAGTTAATAATAAGAGAGAATGTTTCAAGAACGTTCATCTCATTATTGCTGTTTGTAATTGTACTGATTCCTCTATCAATCTTACAGATAATCCTTGACTTATGACCACAGTTGAGTCCAAAATTTCTATTGCTAAACAAGAAAGTATGAGTTTGCTTCATTTTATCGTCTTTCTGGCCACAATTGTTAAGTGAATCACTGCAGTTGTTAAGTTAGTAACGTGGTTATTAAGTGAATCTGGCTTCCCCATTAATTTTGCTCGTCAGAAGGTTGCAAAAGATGGTCATATGACCCTGGGACAGTGCAACCATCATAAATACATGCCAGTTGCTAAGCATCCTAATTTTGATCAGATGGCCATGGAGATACTGCAACAGTTACAAGTGTAAAAAATGGTCATAAGTTATATTTTCAACTTTGAATGGTCGCTAAACAAATGTTTGTAAGTTGAGGATTACATGCATAAACAATTCAAGCCCTATCTATCAAGCATCAAAAACATCTACCAGGTTATCCCATCTCCTTTACATGAAGGATCAGAAGCTATATAGAAAAACACATCTGAAATAGAATCACAATTCAACATTGGCCATATATACAGCCAGGATATTGCAGTGAAGTTTGAACTTGACAAATCTATATCCCTCACCATCAGCAGGATTAAAACAGAGAAAACTGAAGGAATCAAGAAATAACTTCAAGAGTCTGGCTGAAGAGATCACTACAAATACCTAGGCATTCTTCAAACTGACATTGAGCACACCGAAGTCAAGAAGAAGGTTAGAAAGGAGTACATGAAAGTGAAGAAGATTTTAATGTCCAAGTCAATGAAAGAATTATCATCAAAGTGATCACCACCTGAACAATTCCAGTTGTTAGATACACAGCTGAAATAGTGGGCTGGATTCAAGCAAAACTAAAAGCCCTGAATAGGAAGACTAGAAAAATAATGAATCATGCTCCATCCATATAGTGATATTAATATATTCTACTTAACAAGGAAAATAGGTGGACATGGAATATTATAAGTACATCAGACAATTGAATAAGAAAAAAGGATGCTGGAAAAATATCTAAAGAATACTGAAGAAGACACACCAAAGCTGGTATACCATGAACCTTATTGACCAAACTGTTCTATGAGAAAGATCAGAAGTAGAATATAAAAGACATGGTAAGGCAAAGTATTACATGGGCGGTATGTAAAAAAAATAGCAAGCAAATAAGACCTGGAGTAAGAGTAGGAAAATTGGGGAAAGAGATAGATGGCTAATTCTGGCTGCACAAGACCAAACCTTAAGAACAAATACATACAAAGCCAGAAATGAAGCAGCAGATAGTAAACACTGTTTCTGCAAAGAAGCTGAAAAAACAATGGACCACGTAGTTAATTGTTGCAAGAAGATTGGACAGACTGACTACAGGCAATGCCATAACAAAGTAGCAACAATGATGCAAAAATCACAAGCACATAGACCTGCAAGTAGAAGTAGAATGAATATGGCAAAATAAATATCAAAACAGCTGGAGCACAAATTGAACAACATCAGCATTGACCCCACCAGTCAGTTGCAAAAAACAGCCTTTTCACTAGGAATAGCTTACATCCTACCACGATACCTTTAACATCATCAAACAACATCTACTTATTACAGGTTCTTGGGAAAGACTAGTAGATAGATAAAAATGGCTGACTGTGCAATGAACCATAATAATAATACAATACAGCTAACTATTCCAGTTCATAATATTGCATAAAATTAGTAATCAATGAACTAGTGGTTCATTGATTAATTTTTTTATATGTATGGTACTTTGTTTGCTGTTGTAATTTAGTTACTTTCCTTTTCAAAAAATTACTTTTCTAGGACCAGTTATTAACATTATTTGAGACAATACTTTTTTCAAAAAAGATATGAATTAAAGCTGCATAGGTGTTAGAGGTCTGTATCATAATACTTCTTTCCCAAGAATGTCTGTAAATTTTAATATTGGAAAACATCTAGATTCATTTATTTACATCTAGCGTGTGTTTTTGGTGCAGATGCTATAGCAGCATCTAGAAATATTTCTAAATAATTACAGCATTTTTCAAAAAATTGACTTCTTCCACCCCACCTTTTTGTATATTGCAAAGAAAGATAGAAATAATAATGTGCTCTCACACCTTTTAAAATTGTTTCAACAGGATTCCTTAGCTGCGGAAATTGAAGGATCAATGCGAAAAGAGCTGCATTTGGATGATACTGACTGCTCTGATTTAAAGTATGACGAATATATTGTAATACTTTGGAGAAAAGCTGTATTTAACAGTAATAATAAGTAACCTTTGTGGTATATGAAAAAATGTTTAGAGAATTGACTTTAATGATCTTTTAAGAATTTCAAATCTTCATTTAAATTATTAAATATAAGAATATAATTAGATATAAGAAAATGTTTGGAACATCGGAAGGTTTTTATGATATTGCATGTAGAATCGTATCTTTTTTTTGTGGAGGGTTGATGGGAGGGAAGATATGCTACTTCTCAATTAAAATAGAAAAATAACCTTTTTGAGAATACCAAAACTGAAATACAATTATGCATCAGGAAAATATCATTAAAATAATAAAGGCATGTGAAAAAAATATTATCTCACCATTCCACCAGATGTTTTGCATTGCATATGTTGGTAGGCAAATGATGTCTTTCAGAAATTCTGGTCTACAACTCTCATAGTTTACTGACAGTATTAGGGCTACTGATATTTGTTGTCTAAAGAGTATATGAAGGATCTTATATAGCATGCATAAATTGCCTGATCCTTATCAAAGAAGGAGAATATTTGAGCTTGCTTGTTTTCTTGCACATGTTTCATTACCCTAACTAGGTATCATCAACAGTGCTAGTAAGGAGTGCTGTTTGCTTTCAGTTTATATTTTGGTGTCTTGCCTGTCTGGGTGGATAGGGGCGGTCTTAGGGATTCTTTGGTTGGGCTGTTTACTAAGGCCTCTTGGCAGTTTCTGGATTGGGGCATTGCTTCCTTGATTGTTGGTTTGATGTTGACTACCAAAGCAATAACCCAGCCTCCCACAAGAGAAGCTGTATAAGGACTTTATTTAAATGAGCCCAAACACACTGCAGCAACCCACAACACATTACAACAAAATGGATACCCAGGTAACTTCATCAAAAAGTCCTTGATCACTCAACCCAATACAGCACAATCAACACAAACCTTAAACAAATTACACTGCCATGCATCAGGAATATCTCAGAAACCGCAAATAGACTGCTACAACCACATGGAATCAGCATAGCACGCAAGCCAACTAAAGCCCTTTAAAAAATCCTAAGCAAACCAAAAGACCCAACAGTCCCAGAAGAAAAAACAGGAGTTATCTACAACATACAGTATAAGAACTACAGCAATCACTATGTAGTACAAACAGGCAGAAGATTGGCAGAACGCATCCATGAACACCAACTGGCAGTCAAAAGACATTATGAAAATTCTTTAATTTCACAACATATAGACAGATTTAACCATGGTTTCAATTGAGAAAATGTGACAACCCTAGCCCAGGCCGTATCCCAAAATGCCAGGGAATTTCTAGAAGCCTGGCACTCTGAAAAATCAGCCATCAATAGACACATAGACATTAACAACATCTATAGATTATGCAAAAGAGACAATCAACCAGCCCCAAAGAGAAAAAGACTCCAGCACCTCTCCACCAATAATCAGCACTCAGATCAGCATAGATTAACTCCAAAATCAACTTCAGAATAATGATGATGATGATAGATAGATAGATAGATAGATAGATAGATAGATAGATAGATAGATAGATAGATAGATAGATAGATAGATAGATAGATAGATAGATAGATATGGGATAACCCAAGGAAATACAACAAGGATGCGGCTGGGTTAAAAGAGGTGGATGAAAATAAAACAGAATGAAAAAACTAGTAATAACAACAAAAATGGTAGAAAAAAGAGCAAGGAAGATCAAAAATTGATCAGCACCAGGTGAAGATGAACTGCATGGGTTTTGGTTGAAATATCTAACTGTTCTATACCCACTCATTGCCAAGCAGTTCAACAATATACTACAAAGAGGAGAAATTGAAAAGTGGCTAATAACTGGGAAAGCCTACCTAATAATGAAAAATCCAGCAAAAGGGGCAACACCAGGCAACTACAGGCCAATTACCTGCTTACCAACAACTTTCAAATTGCTAACTGGTGTGGTAGCTGATGCAGTACAACAGCATCTAGTTGAAAACAATCTCTTTCCATCTGAGCAGAAAGGAAACCGCCTCAATAGCAGAGGAACAAAAGATCAACTCCCAATAGACAAAATGATTTTGGAAAACTGCAAGAAAAAGAAGACCAACTTGAATGTGGAATGGATTGACTACAAAAAGGCATTTGACTCTCTGTCACATGACTGGATAAACAAGTGCCTAGAAATAACAGGAGTCAGTAGAAACATCAGAAAGATGTGCAAAGATCGATGGCACAATGGAAGACACAGTTGCAAGTCAATGGTGAGAGACTGGGAGAGGTTAATATCAAGAGAGAAATATTTCAAGGAGATTCATTATCACCACTACTATTTGTTATTGCACTGTTTGCTCTGTCAACAATACTGAATAACTCAGGACATAGCTATCAAACATCAAAAACTATCCCACCTCCTTTACATGGATGATCTGAAGCTGTATGGAAAAACATCATCTGAAATAGAATCGCTGCTCAACACTGTCCATATATATATATAGCCAAGATATTGCAGTGGAGTTTGGCTTGGACACTTACTATCAAACAAGGAAAAATAGTGAAAACTGAAGGAATCAAGATGCCCCACGAAAATAACATTAAGAGTCTAGATGAGGAAGATTACTACAAATACATGGGTATCCTTCAAGCTGACAACAACAAGCACAGTGAAGTCAAGAAAAAGATTAGAGGTGAATACATCAAGAGAGTGAAGAAGATCTTAAAGTCCAAACTCAATGGAGGAAATACCATGAAGGCAATCAACACCTGGGCAATTCCAATTATGAGATACACAGCTGGAATAGTGGACTGGACTCAAGCAGAACTAAAAGCAATGGATAGGAAGACCAGAAAAATAATGACAATGAATCGTGCCCTTCATCCACGCAGTGACATTGACAGACCCTATCTACCAAGGCAAATAGGTGGGCGTGGAATGCTGCAAGTACATCAGATGATTGAAGAAGAAAAAATGGCTTTGGAAGAATATCTGAAGGACAATGATGAAGATACACTGAAATTAGTATATCAGGAAGGCTTACTGACTACTGGAGAGACCAAACTGACCTACAAGAAAGACCAAATGAAGAACAGAATAGAGGCATGGGAAGACAAAGCTCTACATGGCCAGTACATTAAAAAAAATAGCTGGGAAAGCAGATAATAACAAGACCTAGCAATGGCTAAGAGCAGGAAAATTGAAGAAAGAGACCAAGGCACTAAATCTGGCTGCACAAGACCAGGCTTTAAGAACAAATGTATACAAAGTCAAAATTGAGAAGACAGCAATAGACAGCAAGTGCCGCCCATGCAAAGAAGCTGAAGAAATAGTGGACCACCTGGTAAGCTGCTGCAAGAAGATCGCACAGTCTGATTACAAGCAGTGGCATGACAAAGTAGCAGCAATGGTGCATTGAAAGATCTGCAAGAAATACCATTTGCCTGTAAGCAAGAACTGGTGGGATCATAAAATAGAGAAAGTCATAGAAAATGATAAAATTAAATGGCTCTTGGACTTCAGAATTCAAACAGACAAGCACCTGCAACATAACACCCTGGACTTAACAGTTGTCGATAAGAAAGACAAAAAAGTCTGGATAGTGGATGTGGCAGTGGTTGGAGACAGCAGAATAGACGAGAAAGAATTGGAGAAGATAACAAAATACAAAGATCTACAAATAGAAATAGAAAGACTGAGGCAAAGGCAAGCAAGGGTAGTACCAATAGTAATAGGTGCCTTGGGTACAATCCCAAAATAACTAGAGCACCAGTTGAACACCATTGGCATTGACAAATTCGCCATTAGTCAATTTCAAAAGGCGGCCTTACTAGGAACTGCTTCCATCCTGCAATGATATCTGTAATACCATCAAACATCCACATCTGCCTATCCCAGGTCCTTGGGAAGGACTCGATAGGTAGACAAAATGCCAAATCCAATCTGAACATCTGGCTGACTGCGATCCATAATAATAAAAAAAGTTGGAAGGGACCTTGGAGGTCATCTAGTTCAACCCCCTGCTCAGGCAGGAAACCCTATAGCATTTCAGAAAAATGGCTGTCCAGTCTCTTCTTAAAAACTTTCAATGTTGGAGCATTTACAGCTTCTGGAGGCAGGTTGTTCCACTGATTAATTGCTCTGAATGTCAGGAAATTTCTCCTTAGTTCTAGGTTGCTTCTCTCTTTGGTTAGTTTCTTGTCCTGCCTTTAGGTGCTTTGGAGAATAGCTTGACTCCCTCTTCTTTGTGGCAGCCCCTGAGATATTGGAACACTGCTATCATGTCACCCCTCATCCTTCTCTTCATTAGACTAGACAATCAAATAAGCAATATCCCAATCAAGAAACTGCCAAGAAGCCATTAGTAAACAGCCTGACTAAAGAATCTCTAAGACTGCCCCTACCCACCCAGACAGGCAAGAACCAGAATATAAACTGAAAGCAAACTGCACTCCTTACTAGTACTGATGATGTTACCTAGTTAGAATAATGAAATGTCTGCAAGAAAATAAGCAAGCTCAGAGAGTACCAAGGACCCCTGATCCTTATCCTTTAACTATTGTTAGGTGATAGTTGTAACTTAAGTTCTTACATATCACTCCTTTTAATTTTGCCCAGAGCCAATAAGAATAATCATATTCTCAGCCATTTTAATATTTTCAGTATAAACCTGTTTACTGAGCTTGTAATAGTTTTAGGACAGATATTCAGATGACATCACTATTTCTGCAGAACGGGTGGAAATATATTAATACTACATTTTATTATGTTCCTCTAACCAGACTTATTTTGGACAAGTATGGCATCCTATGTTCAGTGTAGGAACTTCTGATTCAGTTCTTGTTTTCTGTTGGGGGCAGGGGGAAGGTAGTGTTAATATTTGAGCCTGAAAACTATTGCTAGTCATCTTGGGATATTGTCTAGGTAAGTAAGGTCAATTATATTAAAACTGGGCAGCATTTATGAAAAAGGTACTGCTATATGCCTCTTCCCTTTTCCATACATATAAATAACTTATAAATGGTTTCTTCAGTGTTAAGATGTAACATACCTATTCTTCTCTAAGGCTATTTTTAAAATATAAAAGCATTATTAAAGGAGTTCCTGCAGCTTTTACTCTGCTAATCATTGTTGATTATAGAGGCGGTGCTCATCTCCGTTTCAAGACTATTAGGCCAACTCTGTCCAAAGACATTTCTGTGATCATGTGGCCAGCATGATGTCAAAAAGCATTATTAATTACATTAAAATATAATTGCAGAAAATTTAAACCAGGCTATCATAATATGCTGGTTATGTATTGAAACAGATATGCCAATAAATAAATAAAACGAACACCAGGGTAAAATGATCAAACTCTAAGAGTTTAATACTACTATACCAACACCAAGCTTTCGTCAGCATCCTGCTGACATCGTCAGGGCTTAAACAGCCAGTCCATGGGAGAGTCTTTTATGGACTGGCTGTTTAAGCCCTGACGATGTCAGCAGGATGCTGATGAAAGCTTGGCGTTGGTGTTCGTTTTATTTATTTATTGGCATGGATGCACCCAGGGATCATGTGTTTAGTTTAATTATCAACAAATGAAACAGATATGTATTGAAATTCATGGAATTAGCTGATGAAGGCTTGTTTGAACATTTACTATAATGTGGTTTATATATTATTTGGAAGGATACTAACTATATGTGTCTTTGTCAGCCGTCACAAGAGAGTGTTTGACACTGTACGAAACATCAATCAGGTAGTAAAGCAGAGATCCCTAACTCCATCTCCAATGAACATCCCAGGATCTAACCAGTCTTCCGCAATGAATTCAGTCATTTCTAGCTGTGTCAGCACACCACGATCTAGTTTCTATGGAGGAGACATTTCCAATATTGAGCTAGACAATAAGACGAATAGTATCATCCTAGAAACTGAATCCACTGACTCTAGGTTAGTAATGCATAGCTAATTTTAAAGTGTATCTTCTTAACAAAAACAGTTTTGTCCTAATTATTTTCTTCCACCTTCTGCTATTATATTCATTGGTTAAATCAGTGCACTACACAACATTATCTCTATATTTAGAAGGAATCTAATTTTAATTCAAGCTGTATTTATCTTTTTTATATTGTTGTAATTTAAGATTAATTCTGTTTATTTTAAATTATCAGATACTTTAAAAATATAGACCTATGTTCTTCCTTAACTATATTTGACTTATAAATCATTAGAGTAATATACAGGTAATCCCCAAGTTACAAGTGTTCACTTAACGCTTGTTCAAAGTTACGTGATGAGCGCCTCCTAGTGCTTACGAGCAAATGTCGAAGGTACGAATATTGCAGCACCACGGCAGTCATTCGCCCTTACGAACGACCGCAGTGGCTCTGCAACATTCACCCTGGTTATTTCCTCCCTCCTCACTCGTGCACCAGGTCTTCCAAGGCACCAGGCCTTCAATACTCACTCTGAGAAGACCGAGATCCTTTGCTTTCTTGGCTGCTCCAGGCCTTTAATGCATTCGCAGTGAATGGAGACCTAAAGTAACGCAAGATCATGTGAGATTAGTGGGACAAGATCTCATGCTACTGATCTTGTGTAATCTCATGGTACTTTAGGCCTCTGTTTGCTGTAACAGAGAATGGAATTGAAGCCGGGGGACGCTTTCACATGCCTCTAGAGGCTGGATCTGGGCTCTGGAGGCCTTTTCCAGGCTGCTGCTGCCCAGATCTGAGGCTGGGGAATGCTTTTGTGCTTCCCCGTGGCCCAATCCGGACTCTGGAGACATTTTCTAGGCCGCTGCCACCCAGATCTGAGGCTGGGGAGTGCTTCCGCGCGCCCCTGCGGCTCGATACAGGCTCTGGAAGCCTTTTCCAGGCCCAATCAGGCCACTGGGGTGCTGCAGAAACGTCCCTCGGCCTCAGATCTGGGCGGCGGCAGGAACCACGGCAAAGAGAAAGGGATCTTTTCCAAATGAATCCGGCGCGGCAGGAAGGGAGGGGGAAGCATGTAGTATTTAGTGGGTTGGGGAGGCCTTGGGGGCCTGCTCCATCACTAGGTCCTCCGTGGCCTTTCCTACCATGAGATACCTCATGTTCACTTAACAAGCTGCGTTTTAACGAGCAAGGGAGTGATCTCGTTCGAGGCACAAGATTTAATCTACAAGTTTTTGAGTTACAAGTGGAATGGGCAGGCTCCATTCCACTCGTAACTCAGGCACTACCTGTACTCCAAGCAAATAATTCTAGTTGCTGATATGAAATTAACTTTGAATAATTAAATTTTAATTTTATTCAAGTAATTGATTTATAATTAACAATCACACTGCATTTTCCTGGCATGATGATTGTTTGAATCAGTTTATGGATTTGGAATTTTCCTGAGTCATTAAACTATAACTCCCATAGTGATTTCATGTCAATTAAACAAAGCATCTTTCTCTGAATAAATACCATGATGTTTTAAATAGCTGCTATTGGGTTGACAATTTTTTTCTAACTAATTATTGTATTATATAAACTCTCATTATTTCTGTTATTTGGGAAAATTAAGGAAAAAAACTTTATTGGTAGCACTAAAGATTACAAAAAATAATAATTTATCATTTCTGGTTGTAGTGCAGGCCTGCACAAATCATCAGGGGAAAGGGCCACATTGATAACTTAAAAATTCTCATGGGCGGCAAATAATAGAAGTATTTGCCAGTCAGCTGTTCCTTGGCTAGCAGAGTGGTAGACGCTGTAGTGGCAGGCAGCAGTGGCTCAATATTCGCTACTTTTTTTAAAAAAAAAATGGGCATAAGGCTGCTTGGAGGACCACATATTGTGTAGACCAGTTCTTATGTGTACCATATTGCATTTATTAAAACTATATTAAATCAGCTATATTTTTCCTCTATGGTACACACTAGTTTTTTCTTTAAATGAGCAGCATGTGTATAAATCATAAACCTCAGTAAGATAAAGAACATTCCTGTTTGCATCTGTACTCCTTCTATCTAGTTATTTCTCAGATTGAAAGTGTACGTTATATTGATTGAACTGAAAATATTTAAAAATATTTATATTTTGTGGGAGGAGGGGGTCCTTACTTTCTTCTTGTCACCTATATTAATGAGTGTTTGCTCTTTGTTTTAGAAATGAAGAGAAGAACAAGAAACCAGGAATGCCAGGAACACCAGGTTCTTGTGACCTGGAAAAAGCTCTTCGAAGGTTGTCCCTTCGGAGGGAGAATTATCTGTCAGAAAGGAGGTTTTTTGAAGAAGAACAGGAAAGAAAGTTGAGAGAATTAGCAGAGAAAGGGGAATTTCATAGTGGTTCCATTACTCCAACAGAGAGTATTATGTCATTTAGAACACACTCCGGGTTTTCTGAATTTACTGGCTATTCAGGAATATCTATCAGCAGTCGTTCATATCTCCCAGAGAAGCTTCAGATTGTTAAGCCCTTAGAAGGTGATAATAAAGCTCCTCGGCCTTTATCTATTTTCCTTTGTGACTATCTGTGGTCTCTTCTCCATCAGCAAGAAAGAGGAAATCTTTGTAATACATACTCATTTTACTTTAGAGGTAGCCGTCCTCGGTGTTGGTTTGAACTCTTCTGAGGATAGGAATTATCCTTTTTTTAAAAAAGTAATGTATGCTATGTTTCTAATATATTCAGTAGAATATTTATAGTTTTTAGGGATTCATTTTGAATTCCTATATTAATTTAAATATTCCTGTATCATTCAGACAGCAAGAAATGTAAACCTAAATTCCACTGATATGGAGAACAATGATGCGGTGACAGTGCATTGAATTTCAACATTATAGGACTATTGACTTTCATGCACTTCTGTGCAAACTAAAACACTTGCTACATTGCAGTGTTACAGTCTGAAAGTGGTCCTTAATTTATTGCAACAAAATTCAAGATAGCATTCAGTTCCAAAGCTCAAGTTGCTTTGCCTTGATATGGCAGGCCATTTGCTTCATCAGAAATAGGCCTCCATGTACAAATTTTCTTTTTAGTATTAGGGTGTCATTTCAAATCAATGCTTTTCTTTCATCATCTGAATAAAAAAAATATCTGCAGCTAAATTTCTCTATTACTTCAGTAATACATACTTATATTGTTCCAAAGCAACACACAGCATTTCATTGATTAAAATGTAAGATTATGATAACATACATTATCTTTTTCAAAAGAATTGACACACTAAAAATGTTGCAATAAATGTCACTCAAATGCTTAATTTTGGGTTTGGGGTTAACATTTTTGGCATTTTATAATATGGATATATCAAATTCACCTTACTTTTTATCTGTAAGCTATTTTAATTTGTTGGAATTTGCATCAAAATTGGAAGATTCCACCAGCACAACTGAATCAATATAAATAATGTCTTTGGCTTTTACAGAGTGCTTATTAAAAAAAATAAAATATTTTAGAGAAGAGATAGCAGATAATCAACTTTCATCTCTTGATTGCTAGTATTGTATAGGTTTCTGTCATCCAATTTGTTTTCTTCAATAAACTTTCAGTTTCCATTTTTTCTGTTTCTCTTGATTTTTCACTTTAGCTTCTTTATGTATGAAACTTTTTCTTCTTGCACTTTGTGTTACTGATCATCTTTAAAATTTTATCATGTATATGTTATGCAGGAGATAATTTCAGAATCCTTACATTTTTTAAAAGAATGCTCAATTTAAATAATGTTTATGAAATATGCAAGTGAATTTGGGTAGTAGTATTAATACAGTAAATGTATTTCTAGCTGTTATCTAGCTGTTCTCTATTTTTCACTTTGCCTATTTTGTTAAAAAATATATAATTCAAAATACACATAATTTCATTACAGCATTTTATTAAACCATTTCTAATTGTAGATTAGTAATAGATAATTTGATTTATAGATGATTATTTATTATTGTATTTAATTATTTATAATGGAAAATGGAATTATTTATTACATCTTAAGAATAAATGAGAGGAGAGGAGGGAAGAGGAGACGGATAATAGACACACAAAAAATGTATGTCTAGATTTTTCAATAGTATGAACAGAGAAACCTAACCTATCCTACCCTATCCTAGCATACATTTTAGGTTATATCTCTGCTTAATCTGCACCATGTGTCCTGGTGCATGTATAGTAGACCTCTGCTTCTGTGGATCTGGTGCTTAGTGCCTGTTTTTGTGCTGCTATGGTCAATGCCTTTTAGTCTTTTAGGTCAATGTCTTTTAGTCTGGAGTGAACAAAAAGTAAGCTAGTAGATTTGCCAGTTTTTGTTTTTAGTAAAATCAGAATGGGAGATAGGCCCAATCCATAAGAATATTCCATATTACTCTTGGTCTAGTAGTTAAGGCACAGGATTACTCATCATCTAGTGGTCAAACCAAGATCCTGGGAGTTTTAATTCTCCCTTAGGCATGAAAGTCACCTGGGTGACATTGCACAATCTTTCTCAGCCCCATCCACCTCAGAAGGTTGTTCTTGTGGGGAAAATAGAAAGAGGAAGGAGTTTTAGGTATGTTCACTATCTTGAGTTATTTATAAAAAATAATAAGACTGGAATATTTTTAAAATGGTAAAACTGATGTTTTTATTTTATTATTTAGTTGTAAGAAATGATACTCTTTCCCCCTTCTGTCTGTCTGTCTATCTAGCTAAGATAGCTTAGAAATTAAGGAATAGAACTTTTCAGCGTACTTTCCTGTCTATTTTCCTGTCTACATTAAAATGGTAGAAATATCACAAAACATTTTTGAATTCAGTTCAATTTTTAAAATTTTTTAAAAACTGAACACAAGCCCATGTTCTTTGGATGAAGAATTAGTCAATATCTTTCTATGCAGGGTTGATAACCATTTTTTATTACATTGAAGTAAATTGGATATATTTCTTAGTCAACATATCAGAGTCATTGATTGAGATGGGGCCCATAAAAACTAAATAAGCAAACAAATAAAGGATGCAGTGTGAATTTGGTCCGAGGGAGCAAGTTTATGCCTTCAAATCGGTCTTGACTCCTGGTGATTGCCTGGACAAATCCCTGCAGTTTTTGGGGGCAAGATTTCAAAAGTGGATTACAATTCTCTGCTTGCTAGAGCTGAGAGAGAGTGATTGGACCAAGCTCACCCAGCTAGCTTTGTGCTTACAGAAGAACTAGAACTTACAGTCCCCTGGTTTCTAGCCTGGTACCTTAACTAGTATACCAAACTGACTTCTCAAAAACACTACTTCTATTTTGTCCCTAGTAACAAAAGTGATCTAAAACAATATTTGATACTTGCAACTGAAGCTACTTTTTTATGAAGTTTCCCACTATGATGATTTCTTGCAGAACAGTTTGAAGCAGTTGTGACACTTCATCAGCAATTAAGGTGTAACTACATATAATGAGCATTATAAGCAGTCTGTCCATAATTCAAATTTCCATACTGACCTGTTTGTTCTATTGTTTTCCAAGGTTCTGCCACACTGCATCATTGGCAACAGCTTGCTCAGCCTCACCTAGGAGGCATCCTAGATCCAAGGCCTGGGGTTGTTACTAAGGGCTTCCGTACTCTTGATGTTGATCTGGATGAAGTGTATTGCCTTAATGATTTTGAAGAAGATGAGTCAGGTGAAATTACATACAAAGGCTTAACTACCTCGACACCGATTCAGCACACAGAGACCTCAGGTGAGAGGTCTCAGGCACAAGTGACTGTTTCAGACAGCAAGAATTACCCAAGTTGCTCTCAGTCTTTCCCAGAGGAGATACAGGAACCTACAACTGACGATGATGAGGGGTCTGGTGAGGGAACCTCATTAAGTCCAGCACAACTGCCATGTTTGCAGGATATTGATAATTGGGCCATTCTCACATCTCTCCAGAGCAGCATCCATAATGTTGCTTCATGTTTAACTTCTTCATGACAATGCACACAAGAATTAACATTAGCCAGTTTCTGAACTGTGATTTCTAACTATTACTGCTGTTTTTTTTCAAGTCAAAAGAAGTGCATGATCCCTATTTTCTTCTTTAGTTTGATGAGAGAAGGCTGCTAAAAGGATGCAATTCATTGGGGTTCTCAGAAAAAAAGAAGCCAGTTCTTTTGGTTCTGGGTTTGCATGAGGAGGTTACAGTTTTGCAGATTGCCATTATTTTAGTATTTTGTGTGTTGTAATGCTTATATTCTAAGATTGTTACTTAATGTTTATCTAAAAACAGAGTGATGAGAGTAGGTGGCAGAATCCCAGCATTGTTATCTGTAATAATAGGAATTCCTTGAAATCAACCACTTTGGTTCTTAGGATGAAATTACATATTGACTTAAATGGTGTAAGTTTTTTAAGACTATGTTTGATAACTGTGGAGGGAAGACTGAGGCTAGAAGGCTTGCTGTTAAAAAAGAAATATCCAGAATCCTGATAAAAAACTTCTACTGGTATCAGTTGTAAACTGCTAAGACTTTATATGTCAGTTCTTTCTTGCTAATACCTAGCTATGAACTGTTTTGTGGAAAAAATAAGGCCAGACAATAGAATCATTATATTAATTTTTTTTTCTGCCAATTACTCTTGACTTTTGGGATCCGTCTGAGAACTATTTTTATATATTTTTTCTAAAGTAGTTAGAATTTTTCTTTATATTTTGTATGCTAAGCAAGGTTATCTGCAGGATAAGGGCTAATTGTGTTGCCTGAATTCACAAGAAATCATGTGGTCCAGGTTATTGCCTTAATTTTAGCAAATGTAGCAAATGAAAAGGCAGCATAGTTGAACACTTTGCACATTGATGACAAAAGAGTGATTGCTAAAGATATAGAGATCAAATGCATATATTGTTTTTAAGCTTTCTCAAATGAGCTTTCTAGAAGTAGTTATTTTCCAATGTCTCAGTATTTTGAGGGCACTGAAATCCAGCACTTTACAAATTTGGGGATTTATAGGACAGAAGGTAAGTATATACTTGGATTCAGGAAGCCATATTTTTTATTCTTAATTCAGTAGCAAGCTACCTCTTTGTGCTGCCAGATATAATTCCTTTGAAGTCATCTAGCAGGTGCAGATTATGCAAAAGCAGGTTGAAATTTTCTCTACAAGGCCTAAACAGAAATGAAACAGAATGAGAAATGTTTCTTTTTGTTTCATTTGCTCAGCATATCTGTAGGCTTTATGGCTTAGAAAAAAACTCCCAGTATTGATTAGGATTTTACAGTGTGATCTATAAAATCCAATGCATGGACAATTACCTGCATAAGTGCTTGATGACTTGGGAATTGGGGTAATACTGTATGACATTTGAATTAACTGATTGAATTTAAAATATTGCAGTATTTCAACTTCTGCCTCATTCTGTCGTCTGATTTACATTAGCCCATGTTCAGATGTTTGAAAAATCTGCTAATACATTAAATAGAGAACTATGTTTATTTTCCGTTGGTGCTATAGTTGACTGCAAAAGGATAAAAAGACAAATTATGAATCAACAGTATAACATATAACCTGTGACTTTTGCACTTGGATCCAATATTGAGACCCATGTATGAAAGGATATGTTTATATGCCCGACAGCACTTTTTGTCATGGCTGTGAATTCCTATGTTTAGTAATTGAAAAAGATGCCAGTTTTTTCTTTAAAAAAATAATCTAAAGTGAAATATTTTTCAACACTGGATATAACATGTTCCTAATTCTGATTGGTTACCATTCAAAAGCTGTATTTTGACCTGTATTTCCGTAAATGTAATAATGAAAATGATTTTCATAGGTGTTCTTTTGGCTTTTTGCATTTTACATATACTTTATACATAGAATTGAGAACTCTTATGAAAATGCAGTTATGGAATGGGAAATTCTTATTGAAATCTAGAACAAAATTTATTTGCTATAATTGTATTTGGTAACTTCAGTAAATCTTTGGTATGTTAATGAAAGAAGAGATCATTTTATTTTATTTAATAGCACTGTGGTTTTCTGCAAAATAAAGTAATTTGAGAAATCATTTGTTGGCTGGAGAAAAGGACAGTCCTTTCAACATATATTTAGGTTTTTTTTTTCCAAAATAAATAATAGCAAAACCTCATTGTCGATCACAATATTATCCTTTTTTATATGTTGGACCAAAGAACTGTTGAGTATTTGTTAGAGATTGTATTGGAATTAAAACCTGACATTCTTTTCATTTTTGAATTGTTTGAGATACTGATCACTTACAGGCAGCTCACGGTTTCCCGACAGAGAATACTGCAGCCATATGAAAAGCTGATTACTGGAGGATGCTGTCCAGGTTTCTCTGAGTGGTATCTTTGCAGGATTAGTCTTTCTAAATGTTAAAAAATTATTTCTCTTTCATAGTCAAGAAAGCTCACCCACTAGGCTCAATTGCTACTTTTAGCAGCCTTTTCCTATCTTGTATATTAAAAATAATGAGCTGGGTCTACTTCGCTTACTGCAACAGGTTTCTGCTAATATAATTCCTTAGCGAAAGAAAATCAGTGTTTTTATTAAATGGGTAATGCAGACATGGAGATAGGTGAAAACCTTTATCCATTCTTTGAATAATTGTTTAATCTAAAATGTTCATACTCCTTTATTCTGCTATCATTTGTCATCTAACACTGAGCTGCTTTTTTTCTTTTAAATTTAGCTTTTCTCTCTCCATATAATCTTTTTCCATTATTGATTCTTTGAGATTTTCTCAAATATTTTAACCTGGTTACACTTGCACAGGGAATCATGATTGCCATAACCCTTAAATATCAATTAAATGCATTGTTTGCACTAACCCTTGAAACAACAGTATCATGCATTCTTAAGGTGATATAAATAATTTTTTGAACATTGATGCTGTACTAGGGTATTAGTCGTCATTGGAAAATGCAGAATATCTGAAAGTAGCTTACAGAAATGGAATGATTTTTTTTAATTTTGAGCCACCTCATTTTATTAATACTTTCTCTTTAAAAAATCTCCCTATTTCATATGCAATAACTCTTTTTACATAATTATCTTCATTATATATTTATTTTGCTACCGGTTTTACAGGAAATATAGCCACAATAAGCATGTATTTTTCTCAGCCTTTCTGTAAATTTAAAAATATTTTGTGATAAGATATCAGGTTATTGTATATATCCTATCATGGATAAACAATATTTTAGAATGTAGTCACGTCAGAAGAGACTAAACAATCACAGATATGTTTCTTGTACATATTTAATCATGATAACATATTGAAGGCTTTTTAACTCATCTGCAATCATGATGACTTTGCAATTGTACTTAATTCTGAATTGCTTCTATGACTGTTAATGGATGCATGGCCTTTTCAGTTTGTGAATTGCTTTGCAACCAAGGGCTGTCCATAAAGTATATCATATGTTAGAAGTGAAAAAATTGACAATAAGCAATCTATGATACTGAAAACAGAAAGAGTAATGTTGACAAAAACATGGTGTCTTCCCATATTTGCTTTCTTGCTCTAGTTCTATGATCCCAAGAGGTCAGCAGGTGCTTTTCATTTTTTGTGTCTGCTTGCAATTTACGCAGGAACATCCATTTTCCTTAATAATCCTTCATTTCCCAATACTCATAAGTGTTTTTGATAGGGTCAGAATCTGTACTTATTTTTTCTTATATCCACTAATCTGATTTTACAACTTTTTTTGCAACATCATTAAGTAAACACCATGATTGTTAAGTGAAACAATGATTTGCTATGAGCGCAGTTTTGCCAAAAACTGGAAGTAAATGCAGTTTGTCAGCAAAACCATTGTAAAACACATTGCATGATCATGGGACACTGCAAAGGGCTGTAAATGTAGCTCTGTTGCTGCATGCTGATGTACAGTTACATGATTATGAGGGGCTGACCATTGTAACTTCAGATATGTGTCATAAATAGCCCCAAGATAGGTCTTTTTAAAATTTTGAATGGTCACTAAGCAATTAGTTATAACTCTATGATTACCTGTATAGATAAAAGTGATCATATGGCCCAAGTTAAAGAGCCTGGAAAAATAAAGAAGTTTTATGAAGTTAACAAAACTATGTGCCAGACGAGCCAATGGGATGGAATGCTTTCATTCCTTGTGCCCAGCTATGCTTCAAATAGATTGTCAGTGGAATTGTTTCGATGTTCAATCTCAGAAGACAGGCTAAATAATTAGGTAATCAGTTGCGATGCACACCATGAAGTGCTTTAATATCAAATGTAGTTTAATCTGGAGAATACCAAAAAATGGTAACTGAGGCTATAATTACTAATTTGAAATAGTTTAAAGCCCCATGAAAGAGCTTCTCTGGAGTGGTGCCTGCTGTATGGAATAGCCTCTGTCCAGAGGGCCCCTACCTTCTTAGCCTTTTAGAAGGCAGTGAATATCGAGCTGGTCCCCTAAATGCAGGGCCAGGATGGGAGTTGAACCCAGCACCTGTGGTGTGATATACTTAGGATTTTCATGGCACTTTGGCTGGAGTGTGATAATTGGCAGTTTTTATTTTCACTATTGTTATAAGGGGCTTGATAATTGTTAGCCACCAGGATTATCTTTTTTTGCCATGGTTATTAAGCCAATCATAGTTATTAAGTGAATCATATGGTTGTAAAATGAATCCTGCTTTCCCCATTGATTTTGCTTGTCAGAAGTGCCCTGGGAAGGTTTCAAATAATGATCACATCGCAAATCAAGAGACCATGAGTTCAAGTCCTGCCTGAAAGCCAGCTGGGTGAATTTGGGCCATCACTATCTCTCAGCCCAACCCACTCACAGTGTTGTGAGGAAAATAGAAGGAGGAAGGTATATTGGATATGATCTCTGCCTTGAATTATTTGTAAAAATAATAAAGGCGGGATAGAAATAAATAAATAACTTTGAAAATACATGCCAGTTGCCAAACTCCTGAATTTTAATCATATGGGAACACTGCAATAGTCATAACTGGAAAGAGTGGTCATAAGTCATTTTTTCAGCATCATCATGCCTGCAACAGTTGTTAGATAAATAGTTTTAAGTTGAGAGCTACCTTTACAGGCTTGCATGAATCACTCAGTTGTAAGAAAGCACAGCACGAATCCAAAATATATTCATGTGAAAAGGAAGATTTCTGGCATTCAACAAGATACTTGGCTCTGCCAAAAGCTTCACAAAGAAGAACACATATTGGCAGAAAAGGATAGATCTTTACTGAGTATCGGTTGTCTCCTACACTACTTTCTATGCTCTTTTGGATGATTTCCAAGCGTTGTAGAGATGATTTTCAAGAACATAATGAATTACACCATATTCTTTTCAACACCTCTCATGAGAATATATAGAATTTTAAAATTGAGGAGGTGACTTGTTTAAGATGACATACTTTATGGTCTGTTTAACTTTGCATTCCACAGTTGCACCCTATAGCAATTTATAAATACAAATTTGAGTTTTTTATGGTTCTATAACCTGTTTTGTTGCAATACCACAAACATAAGTTATTTGTCTTATATTCAGCTATTCAGATTGATTTAATTGCTATCTGGGTACAGCAGCAGGTGTTTTGTTTGCATTTCAGATGGAAGTGGGAAATGCTGCAGATGGGCAGTTGTGGATCCATAAAAATTATGCCGGATACAAAAATAATACATAAAAAGTGATCCAAAGCTACTTATTTGTATATGGCAAAGGTATATGAACCTCTAGATTATCAATTCATTTGAAGGGGAAATTATAGTCATCTCTTTCAATCAAAGATATGATAATCAGGTATGAGTGTCAGAAGTCCTGCCTTATTTAAAGAAGAGAATTCTGGATATTCACTATTAAAATCTGACTTTCATAACAGATGTTTGGAAGTGTGTCATAACTTGAACAAAGGAGATATCTAAGGACCTCTGAAAAACAGTTATTAATGTTCACCAGGTTAGAAAAGAATATAATACTATTTCTAAAAGGTTTTAAACTCTACCAGTCCACTGTCAGGCAGATTGTGTACAAATGAGGCAATTCAACCCTGTAGTTGCCGTCCCCAGGGATGGTTTGGCAACCAAGATCACACCAAGGAAAAGGTATGAAATATTCTAAGAGGTCACAAAGAACCCCAGGGTAATATCTAAGGAACATAAGTTTTCTCTTACACTGAGAATGTCAGTGTTGATGAGAACAGCATAAGGAGAACATTGAACAGCAATAGTGTGCATTGCACTGTTTCAAGGAGAAGGCTTACTCTTCAAAAAAGATCATTGCTGCTCATCTATAGTTTGCAAAAAAAAAAAAATTGTGGATAAGCCTGAAGGCTATTGGAAGAATAGCCTCCAGCGTTATCTTTGGAAAAAGGCAAATCCTGCATTCTGATATAAGAACTTTAACCCATCTGTGAAATATAAAGTAATATCATAATTTGTGCCTATTTTGCTGCCTCTGGATGAGGATGTTTTGTCACCATTGGTGCAACTATAAATTCTGAATTGTACTAGCAAATTCTACAGAAAATATCTGCCTAAAAACTCAAGAGAAATAGGTATATAGCAAAACCATAACCTCAAATATATAAATTATTTAACCAAAAAATGGTTAAAACAAGAAAGTTAGTATTTTGGAATGATCAAATTAAAGAGTCTTAGTCCTTGAAGTGGGCAGTTCATGTAAGGAAGCCCATCAACAACCCTAATTTTAAGCTAATATGAAAGTCCTGCAAGCTGATGTGTAGGACTGATCAACAGTTATCAGAAACATTTAATTGATGTTAACATTGCCCAAGAACAATACACCAGTTACTGAAAAGAAAAGTTCACATAGTTTTGCCACATACAAATATATAGCTTTGGATCATTTTCCTCGATAAATTGATGAACAAGTATGTTTTTGACCCACTTGTTAATTGGGTTCTCTTTATCTAGTTTTAGGGCTTGCCTAGAAAACTGATTATGTTTTAGATCATATTTAGCAGAAATATTAAAAATTCAAAAAGATTCACAAATATTTAAGCAGCATTGTATGCACTATTATTTTTGTATCCTAATTTTTTTTAGTGTCTCTGGGTCTGTTACTGAATCAAAGTGATGAGATACATTTGCTTGGATCAATGTATTGCACATTTTTATTAAGAGTCAATTATATCTGGCTCATAGAATAAACCTGCTAATAGATTAAGATATTATATTTACTTTTTACAGAATTAGCATTTATAACTTCTTTGTCCCCATTCAATACTTCTAATAATACAGCAATAAGATCAAATGGGTAGCATTTAAATTGTTTAGAATTGGGACAATTTAACATGATAAATAACTACATTGTTGCCTTTCCTAAGTGATATGTTCTACTATTGGAAATTACCATACCAGAGTAATAAGTAGGAAGTAATACTTCCTGTTAGTGGCCACCCTAAAACATTCATATCTGCTGAGAGTCCTTACAGTAAGGACTGTCCCTGTAAAACAAAAGATGTGGCAAGTTAACAAGATTCTTCTCACAGATGTTAATATATCAGAGGAGCTAGAAAATAAAATGTTTTAGAAATGTCAGATATTTATTGCACAGATCACAAGTAAAGTATCATATCACTTTTCTATCTGTTAGTCTGAATATATAAAAGTTCTTCTTTTAATATATAAATGCAAATAATTTTCTCTCTTTTTAATGTAGTACATCATCCTGGGAAGTGCATGTCACAAACCAACTCCACATTTACATTTACCACTTGCCGTATTCTACATCCTTCTGACGAGCTCACACGAGTCACACCAAGGTAAGAGTTTTCAGAGAGGTGTTTTAGTTTCTAAAAATGCAGAAATGTTAAGTGTTAAATAAGCAAGATGTGTTTAACAATTGTGTTCGACACTGTCTCAATTTAACTTACATGTATGTAGCCATCCAGAATCTGTCAGCTTGTTTTAGTTGATGTACACCCGGTACAAGTAAAAAAATTAGGATGCCACTCTTTTAATCCATGATATTCTAACCAAAACATTTTTTAAAAAGTATTCCTATATCATTGCAATTCTCATTGACAGAGTAATAGAAAATGCCTCTTTCCCACTCTTGTTCACACTCTCTTGCTGCTTCTGTTACCTCTTCTTTTCTAGCTGCCTCCCTGCTGCCTCATATCCCTATTTGCAGGACAAAAATTGCAACTTCTCCAAACACTCTCCCTGATGCATGTTAGAATGGCTCACTTCATTGCATACATACAGTATGAGGAACCAGACCAATCAGATACTGCTTTTTGTTATACTTTTTAGAATAGAAGAGAATCATGACCCCCACTCCTGCTTTGCTGCTCAGGTTATCTCACTAATCTTGTGCTATAGACCCAAAGAGAGGGATTGATTGGTTCACCTTTCTGCCATTCTTCCTCTTTAGCACTTAGAAGCAGCAGTAAGGCCAATGGGTATATTTTAAAACAAAAACGCAATCTCCAGTACTATGGGATTACTACTGTACATATCAGTATAATGAAATGAAGCTAATGAAGAATTTTCACAGTTCAGACCAAAAAACTATTTTAAAAAATGTAAAAACGGTGTCCCTTATGCTCCATAAGTGAGCTTGTGAGTGGTACTTGATGAAAATGGGATGATGCACCAGTCCCTCTGACCTTCTTAATGCCACAGGAGGCATCAGATGATGCTGTAATAGCATGAAAGGGGTGTGTTGAAATGTTTTGCTATTTTTTTCACCTTTCAGGGGAGTTAAAAATGAAGATGGGAGCAGAAATGTTTTTATTTATTAAATTTTTATGCCACCCATTTTCCCTATAAGGTGATCCTGGGCAGCTGTTCCCAACAATAAACTCCCTTCATATCCTTTAACCACCCATTCCCAAATTTAGCTAGTTCTGCTAAATGGAAGCAGCAAAATCTCAGCATGTGGAAAGGATATAAGTGGAAGGCTGGGGGGACAACACCTGAATGCAGACTTGGACTCCTTACTTTTGTCCTGTTTATTAAAACCGAAGCATATTTCATGCGATGTTCTCTATTAAATGGAGATGTATTACTAGTTTTAAATCATTTTTATACTCTGATAGGTTTGTAGCTGATGGTCATCTGTATTATTTTTATTATTATTATTATTATTTCTGTATTATTGATTCAGAACCACAGTATTATCATGCAACTGCTGGAGAAGAGAATCTCCTTAAACTATGAATGATGCTTCTTCACAGGTCTTGTGAGGAAGACGATGAAACAGCTTTATGTCACCTTATGCTGAGAGGAGATGTAGGGCACACAGTATGACCAGCGTGAGAGGGGGTGAGCAGCACAGTCAGCAACCTCTATGCTGGCGGAGTCTTATAAGAGGAATGCTAGTGTTCGTGGCATCAGCTAACTCGAAGACTTCTTATCAATCTTATTCTCCCCCTTTCCATTTTAACATTTAACACGAAGTGACCTAACAAAAATTTCATAGTGCTGATTTTATAGAATCTAACAATAATTGGGGATATAAAGGAAGGCCTTCGTTTTCTTTCTTTCTTTAGTAAATATTCTGAACATTTCTTCTTTCTTGAATCCTTTCTCCTCCTCCTCTTCTTCCATTGTATATTTGTAAAAGGACTGTTATCGACCAAGAGAATATGTAATATCTTCCTTAATGTTTGCAGGTATGTTTGACTTACAACTGTAATGGAGTGTGCCCATTGCAGTTGTAAATCGTAGTGGTCATTAAGCAAAGTGCCTACATGATCACCTCATGTGATCCCTGCCACAATCCCTGCTCTTCCCATTGTGGTCACTAAGCAGAGCACGGGGTGCCTCAGGAGTGGGGAAAGCTCTGGGTGGCCTTGCCCAGGCCCTCACTGCAGCACCTCTCCATATCATACATGGCATTGGGCTGTCCAGGAAGTGGGTACAATTTGGGAGTGGTCACAATTCATTGGCGCCTGTTTCTAGGACGACGCCACATGACCTCTGTGTAAAAAGGCTGTCTGAAGAATTGGCTGCTTCCTAAAGAAGATCTATGGAAAAACTAAATGGATTGAGTTGTGACAGAGGATGGGGTGGAGCATTTGGAACCCAGCAGAGCAGGAAGCAGAGCAGAGAAGATAGGTGGAGAGCTCCTGCAGCATTCCTGTGGTAGTCGTAAGAGTGGGGGGATTGTCAAGCGCCCAAATTTTGTTCATGTGACCATGTGGATGCTGCAGGGCTATAACTCTGGACAAGATTGTAAATCCCTTTGTTAAGTGCCATTATAATTTTGAACAATTGTTGAACAAATAATTGTAAGTTGAGGACTATTCATAGCGAACCAGATTAGGAATACTTGCTACAATAGTCTTTATGTAGCAGTATTGATGCATTTGGCATTTTAGAAAGCTGAGCATTAATCTAGCACCAAAGAGTTTAAATTTTAAATTAGCTTAGAGATTTTTGTTACTATGGGAAGGATTGCAAGAAATACTGGTATATTAAGGTGACGTTCAACTGGGAAACATTTACACACGCTGATTAAAAGTACAGCTGTTGAATTTTTAGTAAATACTGTGAAACAAAGTTTAGGAACCTCAGATTGGTTCTCCATCCATGGGTGACTTCTTAATGGCAATATTTGTGTACAATTATTATTTGAGAGACCTTGAAAAGTTGATTTGATATATATAGAAGAACAAAAAGCACTCACCAACCTGAGGAAAGACAACAACATAATCATTCTCCCAGCAGACAAAGGTAATGCCACGGTGATGAAGAACACATCAGACTACCAAGCCAAACTATCTAACCTACTCCAAGACCCCGCTTACAAACCTCTAAACACAGACCCCACCACCTACCTGGAAAAAACCACCAAATCCAAAATAAAAGCCTCTCTCATCAGTGAAGAGATCCAGCAAAGAATCATCCCCAGAAAGAAATCATCCAGATGCCCCAAGCTCTATGGCCTCCCCAAGATACACAAAGAAGGAACACCACTCAGACCCATAGTCAGTTCCATAGGCTCACCTCTAGAGAAACTTGCCAAATTTCTCGCCAAACAACTTCATCTCTACACAGAATCCATCTTCTCACACGTACAAAACTCACTCCACTTCATAGAAACAATAAAGAAAAAAACTTACAATCCAGCGAGCTACTCGTGAGCTTCGATGTCACATCCCTCTTCACCCAAGTGCCTATCAAAGAAGCCTTGACAGCTATCCAAAACAAATACAACCTCCCTAAGCACATCCTAGATCTGATCAACCACTGCCTAACCAACACATACTTCATCCACAATGGACAAAGATACAAACAGATAGAAGGAGCACCTATGGGATCACCCCTTTCTCCCGTCATCGCAAACCTATACATGGAACACTTCGAAACCAATGCCTTAGACAAATCTGAACACAAACACAAACCCTGGCTTAGATATGTAGATGACACTTTTGTAATTTGGCCACACGGGAAAGAAAAACTGGACAACTTCCTCACACATCTCAACAGCCTACACCCCAAAATACAATTCACGATGGAAATAGAAGCTAACAACCAACTCCCCTTTCTGGACGTCCTAATCTACAAAAAAACCAATGGCTCCCTAGGACACACCATCTACCGGAAAAAAACACACACCAACCGCTACTTAAATGCACAATCCAATCACCACTCTGCACAGATCAACTCCATAGCCAAGACTCTCATCTCCAGAACCAAACGCCTAGCCGACAAAGACCACCTGAAAACTGAATTACACACTCTCACAAACGTATTAATCTCCAATGGATTCCAAAGAAATACAATTATCAACCTAATCCAAAGGGAAACACCCCCCCAAGAACCGAGACATAGAACAGTACAACGACATCGCCCTCCTCCCCTACATCAACGGCACCACAGATAAAATCAGCAAAATTCTCCACAAACACAATATCAAGACAGCCTTCGCACCAACCAAAAAATAGCCAACATCTTAAGAAACCCCAAAGACATGATCCAGCTAGAAAACCAAGGAGTCTATGAAATACCATGCAAAATCTGCCCAGCCACATACATTGGACAAACTAATAGGAGAATAAATGCACGCATCGCAGAACACAAGAACGCAGTCAGAAAAGAAGAAAAAAACTTCTTCCCTCTTCCAGCACCTTAAAGCTACAGGACATGAAATTGATTTTGAAGGAACCAAACTAATCTCCAAAACTGAACACCACAACAAGAGAATAATTATGGAAAATAGAAAAACACCCCCACAACATGAATAAACATGACGATACCTCCCGCCTACCAGACATCTGGAAACTAGCCCTAATCAACAAACGAGTCCCAGCCACAAAAACCAACACCGGACCCAGAACAACACAGGACGCCACCACCATTCACCCTCACCAGACCCAAACCCAATCCCAAACCCATCCCTCAGACAAAATGCAACCACCATCCAGAAGCCAAACCACGACAACATCACCAGCTGCTGCACCTCCCTCCGACCCCCACACAAAGCAAACGGGCACACGCCATGAACACAGAGCTAGACCACAAACTCGGAGCCAAACCAAAGTCTGGTATGTTACATCACAGCCTTCTGCTCTGGACTTCACATCACAGAACTCAGGAGGTTACAATGCTAAAGCTCAGGATGTTACAACACAGCCAACCACCCAGGATGTTGCAACACAGAACTCAGGATATCACTATACTAGATCTCAGGATGTCATCACACAGCCCATTACCCAGGTCATTACAACACAAAAGACTAATGGGCACACAGCCAGCACCTCAGCTACTCAGGATGTTATGAAACAGCTGAACAATCCGCAAACAATAACTC